GACTTGCTGGAGTGGTACGCGGTACATTTCCATCTTCTTGCGCAACATTTTGCGTTGGTGGTTCATCTTCCGCAATTTATCCTCGCCCTGCTCGATGACACGGAGGTATTTGGGATAATCTTGGATTTCAGTGTACCGCTCCCAGAATACTTGCGCGTACTCCTCGATTTCTTCCGGCTCTTTGCTGTCCACCTCGGTGGCGATTCCAACGTAGTCAGTACGGCCGAACTTGGCCGAACCGTTCACGAACTGTTGGAAATCCCTGCGGTTCCAGTTGGAGAAGCCTTCTTCAGACATCTTCGCCTTCTCCGCCTGCTCATCCTCCGTTAGTGGCACTGCATTGTCAATCTCCTGTTGTTCAAGATCACGTTCGGCCTCGCGCTCGCTCAGCTCTTCTTCCGGACCATCAGGCAGAGGAACCTTGTATCCGATTTCCTTGTGGAAGTAGGCCGTCTCCTTCTCCTGCAGCTCCTGGAGCCCAGGCGGGAAGAACTGCCAATCATGGACAGTGATCTGCTTTGGCGCCCGAGGAACCTTGGGCTTGGGATCAGCCGTTCTACCACCAGTTGCCAAAGCCTGGCGATAGTATTTGTCGATAGAATAAAACTGTTCCTTTCGCTCTCTCTTCGCCGGGTTAATCCAGTTGATACCAATGTCCTTCTTGCGATCGGTGAAGTCTTTGCCGTTCCATTCGTACGCACTTTCGGAGCTGAATTTTTGCAAGTCGTCGATACCAAGCTTTTCGTACTTCTTGTTCAATTGCGCAGTCCGCTCCTCGCCCTTTCGCAGAATGTTGTCGATATCATCTTCGGATATCTGGTGTTCCGCAGAAATGGTGGTGTTGGCCTGAGTGTTGAAAACATTGGCAGCTCCGTGCTGGATCATGCCCAGCAACTCTTCCTTGGACGCGGCATTCTTGGTCTGCTGCTGAGCGCGTCCCTGTTGAATGACAAGCTGGTCAAGCCGCAACTTCTGTGCGGCACGTTCTAAGACTTTTTCTTCGATCGCATTCTCTGTAACAAACCTGAACACCACGACCTGTTTCGTCTGTCCGATACGGTGGGCACGGTCCATTGCTTGCAAATCAGCCTGAGGATTCCAGTCACTATCAAAGAGAACGACAATATCGGCCGTCGTCAGGTTGATACCAAGACCTCCGGCTCTTGTTGTGAGCAGGAAGATGAACTTCTCTGATCCCGGCTTATTGTACTCGTCGATAGCAGCAATTCGGTCCTCGTGGGCCGTTGTACCATCGATGCGGCAGTAGTTGTATTCGCGGAAAACACAGTAGTCTTCGAGAATATCAAGGACACGACTCATCTGGGAGAAGATGAGTACGCGACTTCCCTGTTTCTGCATACGCGCCAGCAATTTGTCAAGGATCGTCATCTTTCCAGCATTGTAGATGAGATGCTCATCGGTGGTGTAGGGTGGGCCAGGCTCTGCACCTTCAAAAAGGTAGGGATGGTTGCAACATTTGCGAAGTTGCATGACGATATTCAGCAAACGGGTCTTTGACTCACGCTTGCCGGCGGCGCCATTGACCGCATCGATATCTTTTTCGAGGATCTTCTGATACCACTTGACCTGCATTTCCGACATGGGGACGTAAAGATTGACCTCCTTCTTTGGCAGCAAACTCTTCTCGACGTCACTCTTGACACGGCGAAGCAAGAAAGGTCGCAGAACGCGATGAAGTTGTTGCACGACTGTATCCTGATCGGAGTCTTGTCCGGAGAACCATTGGTCGAATGCCTCTGAATCACCGAAAACATCCGGCAACAGGAAGTTGAGGAGGGCCCAAAGCTCGTGGAGATTATTTTGAAGTGGGGTACCGGTAATCAGTAGTCGGTTCCTGGAATGGAAAACACGGATGATTTGCGCCAGAGAAGACTCCTCGTTCTTGATCCGATGGGCCTCGTCGATGATAATGTACTCCCAAGCGAACTTCTTAAGGTGCGCCTTTTCTCGAAGAATCATCTCGTAACTAGTGATACAAACGTCGAAGTTCTCATCGAGAAGCTCCTCATTGATCAGCTTGTGTCGCTGTTCTTTGTCACCCTGAAGGACAAGTACATTGACTTCAGGTGTCCATTTTCCAAACTCCCGCTTCCAGTTATCGAGGGTAGATTTCGGGACGGCGATGAGGTGCGGGCCGGTGATATCGCATACATGTCGGAGATAGCCAAGGAAAGAAATGGTCTGTAAAGTCTTGCCCAAGCCCATTTCATCCGCCAAGATACCTGAAATACCGTTCTCGTGCAGCGAAACTAACCAGTTCAATCCTGCAATCTGGTAATCGCGCATTTCTCCCTTGATGAACGGCGGGGAGTCCCGAAAGACCGTGTTGGTTTCGCCGCCGGACTTTTCATCCTTCAACAGCTCGGCGTCTTCTTCTTGCTCTGTTCTGCGACGCCTTTCACTACCTGCACCACCTGAGCGCGACGAGCCCTTCTTCTTGGCCTTTGCCTCCTCCTCAGCATTCTGCCGGTCGATTTCGGCCATGATCTCCTTGATCCGCGGATTAGGGTTGGTTTCGATGAAATGACGGAATAAGTCGGTTAAGCCGAGGAGGTAGCGAAATCGTCGGATAGAATCATCTTCCTATAGTAATACACACCGTGAGCGACAAATCATCAAAACACGACCATCGCATTGGCGTACCTTTGACTCATCCAAACGACCATGCTTCTTGCCCAAGATACTTTTTCTCATGTGGAAAGCTTCAGACCTCCGTCTCCGGCCATCCAAAGGCGCTGCGTCGCCTGCAACACTGCTCGCCGTGGTATTTGGGTTCGTATCCGAGTCCTAATTTGTGTTAGTCGGCTCATGCGTCAGGCGGATCGCCGAGTTATTGAGTCGCGTTTACCGTGTAGTCTGGAGTGTCCTGGTAGCCCTGAATTAGGATTATTGTCAGCGGGAGCGCTTTGCCGTTTAACCAAGGACGCGCATGAAGATAATACATGGCGCAAAGAGGGGATTCGCGCTAACTCACCGTCATCGGCGCGTCTGCGCTTTCCACGGGCACCGACGTGACAGGCTCAGCATTCGCGTCTGTCATAGGGGTATCTGCCTGTGATGGCGAGTCGGGAGTCGGTTCAACTGAAGGAGCCATCACCATCCACAGCGCACCGAGCGCAGCTGTTCGGTACTATACAAAGCGGGACACGAGTTGATATTAAAACAACCCAGGGTAGGAAGCTATCGATAAGACCCCTAGGAATATGTAAGATCCACGACCTCTTTAATAGCTGGCTGTAGAGGATCTGGTGGGAGAAATTGAAGTTGGGGGGGGCGCACAAAGGAGGTGCGAAAGGAACAAACAGTGACGGATGATGAAAGGACGAAGAAGCACCGCCAGTCGCGCTCATGGGATGGCAAATGGAATTTCGTCGGAGAAGCGCGGCCAGGGCACGCGCTCATTGGACGGGAGACGCGAGGGCGTGACTGAGTCATTTCTGAGTCAGCAGGCGGCGGAAGACCAGTTTCCCCGCTGTGGGTCACGTTACCGGGACAGACGCAAAGAAAGATCAGCTGCGCCAGCGTCCTTTCCGAACGGTCATCGCCAGCCAACGTCCTTTGTTTGCCTGCGGATCTTTAGTATTTTCTCCCTCTATAACTCCCCCTCTTTGGGCCTGTCTCTTTTAGTCCAGACTATCAGTCATATCTGCCTCTTTCTGATCTTTCTTGGGGTTGCCTCGGAGTTTGCCTAACCCCCTGTTTCCCAGAAGCACGGTTCAAGTCACCCCTCCTAGTGACGCCAACGCTAGTATTTATTGTCAAAAGTCTCCCAGGCAGACTGCTTCTGCCACCACACCACACACCATGGACTCGATGAGATCCCTAAACACGTCACTGCCCAGCTCGACGCCTCGGCCACAACCTCCTGAGCAGCTCCTACAGTCGTTCAAGGCTGCTGCTCTCTCCGTCACGAACCTCTACAAGAATGCTGTCTACGAACAGTCGCAAGCCAAGCAAGCTGGATACCAAGAAGCAATTGAGGATCTACTACACTTCCTAGACCGGGAGAACCTCGGTCTTGGGGACGGGGAGGGCTGGAAAGTTCGGCAATGGGCCACGGAACGGAGTGATGGAAGTGGTGCCCCTAGCGACGATGATGAGGTTGAGAAACAAACCAGAGGCGCAACGCCGGCTGCCGCCCGCAAGGCACAGCCAGAATCCGAACCGATCCGACAGCCTTCCAAGTTATCGTCGGAGGAGCAAGCTCCAGCTCCGCCACAGCAACAGCTGCCAACACCTTCGACCCCTCATGCCTCTGAATCAAACGACTTCGATCGTCCAACTATCTTTACGTTTACTGCCGGACCCACCTTCCCGCAATTCCCAGAACAAGATTTGGACATGCAAACCACCGACAGTTCGACTCCAGCGTCTCAAGATGGTGCCCCGGTCAGCGTCTCCGTCTTGCCTCGAAACGCCCGGCAACAGAATCGTCATAATAACTTCACCCGCTCAAACACTCGGTCGTCCCCTCATGAACCGTCCGTCGGGATCGGTTCGAAACGAAAGCTGAACGTGCCCGATTTCTTCGACTTGTCTGGTCTAGGCAATCGAGACATATTTGGGGGCGGCAAACGTGGCCGCTTCACCTAGAAAATATGGTATCGACGAATAGACGAGCATATATTCTCACGGTCACGCAGCGGTCAATTGCATTTTTTTGTGGTTTCTTCTTTGTTTTTCTTTCGGTGCATTAGTAGGAGTATTGCATGTGGCCCTTTGGTGGGCCACGGGTCATCTTTCCGCAGTCATCTTCATTCTATCCTTGTGCTCATATTCTCTTTGCTTACATTATTTCCTTGTCATATCCCATTTCCTTCGGTCATCATTACTATTAAATATAGAGGTTATCAGACATGGCGATACCCGGTGAGGCGGCTAGTGTTTTATTAATCGTACGATTCTTTCTATACACTGTTTTGTACATGTTTATTAGTGGTGAAGCGCTTGACTTGATGTGCATTCCCGTCATCAGAAGAACCAACGCCAGAGTAGAATATATGGTATAGAGTACATGATATACAAATCGTCGTGGCTTCATCAGTTGAAGGCTCTATATATTCCCATCCCAACTAGTGTCGCAGAGATGGTGAAGAGCCCGAGATGTCGAGATCCCATCTTATACTTGGTTGTTCCTTGCATGATTGCCTTTTCATTCATCTTGAGGTTCTTCAATCCCGAGTAGTAGCTGTACACACCGAGGCCGATGAATGCGGCGGATCCTGCAAGCCATCAGATTAGCTATAGTACCATGATTATCGCCCAGAAACAAAGATTAACATACCAGTAACTCTGCACGATAGGCAGTCATCATATGCGTCCTCCGCAAGTGCACGCTTCGCGTCCTTGGGCTGGACATCCAAGGCGCTGTTATTCTGGGTAGATGAAGACATTGTTCTAGAATCAACGATAGACAAAAAAAAGGTCTTTTAGAGAGCAGTCCAGACGAGTCTCGATCAAGGAGACTAGCTCGTTGCGGCGAGCTGCAGCCATTCAAAGGAAATGCATGAAAAGGCGGGGATCGGCGGCAGAACGAGGGGCTTTTGGACTCCGCTAAATGGGGGCCGATGGATCACCGACCATCATTGCTGCACCATGACCACCTCTGCCTACTACATTACGCCCCCACCGGTCGGGATAGGTCGCCTTCGCCATCATGAGCGGCCAGGTCGATGCGCTCTATATCTATGATGAGCAGAGGCACGCCGTTCCTTCCAATGTTCTGATTTCCAGCAGTCACTGACCTGTCCTCTTCCAGCAATCCGATCGTCGAGCAGGTCTATCGCTCCCGTCCGCCCTCCGCATCGGCTATTCTCCCCCTCTATAATGCCTATGCAGCTCCGCGCCCGTCACTCATCTACTTTCCAAACACAACTCCGCCGGTGACAGTGTTCTCGGTAGTGCAGTCCAACCTGCTGTTCTTGGCGCTGTCCGAGGTTGATACGGAACCGCTACTTGCCTTGGAATTCATTCATCGGGTTGTTGATGTTCTCGAGGACTTCGTTGGAGCACCTTTACTTTCCACCAAGATCCAGGCAAACTATGATGTGGTCGCACAGCTTCTGCACGAAATGTGCGATGCGGGGGTTGTTTGCAATACAGAGCCCAATGCGCTACAGGAGGTAGTGGAAATGCCAGGATGGATGGGGAAGCTGTTAGGCGGCGTTGGATTGCCTGGGTGAGTGCCAACCATTACCGGATGAAGGTCACCATGCTATATACAGTGAACTGACGGCCTTCCTTATGCGCAGATCATCGACACCGATCCTGGGACAACCCAGTGCCATGAAGCAATCAGCCGCCGCCGCCGCCCAAGGACCTGCGATCCCCTGGAGAAAGTCCGGAGTGAGACACACTTCCAACGAGCTCTATGTTGATATTATCGAGTCACTTTCCGTGACGATGGCGCCATCAGGACGAATACTCTCTGCGATGTCTTCCGGTACTATCGCCTTCACCGCCAAGATATCTGGTGTCCCTGATCTGCTTCTTTCGTTAACAGCACCCGGTGGTCAAAAAGCCTTGGGACGTAAGTTGGAGCTGCCGGTATTTCACCCATGCGTGCGCCTGGCGCGCTGGCGGGAGAACCCTGGCGAGCTCAGCTTTGTACCACCAGACGGTCGGTTCATTCTTGCCGGGTACGAGGTGGACCTTATGCCAACAGACCCTACACTTGATCAACCCCCGAGTCATATGGAGAAGCTTTTCTTGCCGGCTATTGTGGACATCCGTAAATCGCTTGGGCCGAGTGGCTCAGATTTTGAGGTCCGCCTTATTCTCAACACAAACTTCCCGGGATACTCATCCTCCAGTCGACCTGGTGTCGGGCGTAGCGGATCAGGCACGTCCACACCCTCTTTTCTCGGGGGTGGAGGCGGCAACTCCTCAGCGCCAGCGCTAGAAGAGGTTGTGGTGACCGTCCCGATTCCGAAATCGGTCCGCAACATCACAGACATGCAAGCCAGCCGTGGGGAGGCTTTATTCTCACCGGGCAACGGCGTACTAGAATGGCGCGTGCCGACCAAAGATGCCGGCACAATTTCCGGGACGGCGACGCTCCGGTGCACCGTCGTAGGACACTATGCGGATGACGAGCTGGACGACGACGTCGAAGAAATCGACGCAGACACCAATCTTCTCCAGGGCTACTACGACGCCAGCGCGTCTTACCAGAACCCTGAAGCAGACACGACGAAACGCAAGACCAAGAAAAAGAAGAAGAAGAAGGTTGTCAAGAAATCATCTTCCCGCGCAGCAGCAGCGGCAGCGGCAGCAGAAGCCTCAGCTTCCTCGCCCGCTGAACCCCTCTCCTTAACCCCGGAGGATCCCGAACAACTGACACATACTCCTACTCCTGAACCCGAACAATCGCAGACGCTTACACCGCCCGTTCAATCATCCTCGCCGCAACCCCCACCGTCACTTCCCCGGTCACAGTCACAATCACAGAAACAATCACCCAGCCGAGCCTACTCCGATTCCTCCATCTTCCTTTCGGCGCCCCGTAAAACCAAGACCCAACTAAACGCGACACTAATGCCTAACTCGGCAGCGGTGTCGTTCTCCGTTCGTGGCTGGCTTCCCTCGGGGCTCAAGGTAGAGAGCCTGAACATCGATCCGCGGCGGAGTCGCGGACTAGGCGAGGGAGTGAAACCATATAAGGGAGTGAAATATATCTGTATGAGTCGGAAGGGAGTGGAACGGAGATGCTAAATACTACGTTGCTATACATCTAACAATTGATCTATTGGATATAACCGCTACTTCAGGATTACTGACGACTCAAACACTTACTGTAAAATTGAAGGAAATACTATGAATCATTGAATGAGTCCAAATGATTCTGACTCTCTCGTACTAACAAGATCATGCCATTCACTTTTCGCATCATACATACTACTATATACATTCTCATTAGAACTATACAACCCATCACCCTTAACAATATATACATCCACACCTCCTTAATCTAGACATAAGCATAACAAAACGGCCCCTTCGTCGTACTCATCAACTCCTTCATCCTCCTCGGCACTCCATTGGCATACCCCAAATCCACAACCGTCTGCAAGGTAGTATTCTTACTCGCCGGCTCATTCAAGAACGTTCCCGTTCCCGAGATCGCATACTCCCTACTCTTCAAATCCAAATTCTGCCAAATCCACCAAACCCGATCAATCATACCATGATGATGCCAGAACGCTGGGTCTCCAGGACTAACATAGACATCGCGTCCTGGGTCCCCACCCATACTATAGTGTCCGGAACCATGGACACCAATCGACCCACTGCCAGGCACACCCTGCATGGTCATCTCGAAGTCCCAGACATCGTCGTTGTTCAGAATAAGCGAGGTGATCTTGGGATAGGTGTTGTACTTTTGCAGAAGGGCGGTGGTGAGACTGCGCTTCAGGCAGCGGGGGTTGTAGTTGAGGGGGTTGGAGACAGCGGCGGTGCTGCCTCCGGGGAGGGAGAGCGCGGCGGGGCCCATGTTCACAGTGTAGTTCTTGAAGGGCCCGCTGGTAACGCAGCCACCGCCGGTGCCCGGGGGCAGGATTATGGCGGCGTAGTTGCCGAGGTAGAGGGAGATGTTGCCTTGGTTGGGGATGTAGTAGCCGTTGCCGGACATGGAGGTCTCGGAGCCGTCGAATACTTCAGACGCTTCCATTGTGTGGATGGCGTCGTAGCCCCAGTCCCAGTATCTGTGAGTTGAGGTTAGTTGGGGAGTGAGGGGGTGAGGGAGAAAAGAGGGGCGTACGGGAAGTCGCCTGTGTAGTGGCATTCATCACGGAGGGCTTGCTCGAATTCAAAGGTGAAGTAGCGGTGCCATGCGAGGAAGGTTCCCTGAGACTTTTGTTAGTGTTCTGTAAGGGTGTAGCAGAGAAGTAGTAATGCGTACCGTGTAGTGGATCTCCAATGTCTGGTTGATATGCGTGGCTAGGAAGTCATCATAGCGAGTCTTAGCACCTGGGGCTATATGCGACGGGGTGCGCGAGGGAAGCTGCTGCAGACAGAGCACCGAGTTGATGTAGTCTTTCTTCTCGGGCTTCGAGAACGCCCGCCAGTCACGGCGGATCCGCAGGGTTTCTCGCGTGCAGGCTTGCTTGTCCTCGGAGCTGCTGGGGAGGTTGGCCAGAGTCTGGTCAAGGGCATAGCTCGACAATTGCTCGAGCTTGGCAGCTGCGGCAGCCACGGCAGCGTCGGATGCAGCTAGGCTGGTCAGAGCCGTATGGGAGGCTGTGGGCACAGCCCAGGCCTGCGAAGCAAGCAGGCCCAGACTGAGGGCCTTGAGAGCAACCATTGGGTTGGCTTTAGAGCAGTGAGAGGCAGAGGCAGGACAGAACGGGAACGCAGCCTGAGCAGAGAAAGAGGGGTCCCCAAAGGGGAAAGCCAACCCTTTTTATGTGTTCATCCCTTGTTTAGATCGCCTAGATGTTCGTATCTCGCTATGGGCACGAGCCTATGCTATTGATGGAGATTCGGATGGCCGGCGAGAAATAGAACGGAGCCCTAATAGACTAGGATGCTGACCGAGCAAACATGGAGTTCGAAACAGCTCCAATAACAATGGCAGTCTAAGCAGTTAGGGCGATGCGCTGGTCTGCTCTAGGCTTGTCTGACAGCTCCACTATCGGTTCCAGACCCCGCCAGAGTTGACCGGAGGGGATGAGTCCACATGAATGGTGAGAATCATGTTTGCTGAGGTGGGATTGGGAGGCTCTGAGCCACCGAAAGGAGAACGTGGATGGTGGATGTTTATAGCGAGAATGTCGTGTATGCAGGGCTATCACAATGTTGTACTTCCAGGAAGAAGATGCCTGGAGAAGAGTAAGTTTCGAGAGTATCATACGGTATGGGACGGAACCCGCTAAGCGATGGCGGCTCGCGGGTCCGACTGTCTGACACCAAACCGGTTCCACCCTCTTTCTCTTTCCTCCGACAACCAAGGATCCCTCCACCGGCTGGATCGGATCCTTCGATTCCTCCCAATATCTTATAATGCCCTGAAAGTGGAATCGTTGCTCTCAGTGGCTTGACCCGCTCATCGATCGATCCCTGAACGATCCCGCCTGTGGCCCAAGTGTGATCCTCCATCCACGACCAAACACAGACGATCAGTAAACATTGCGAGCCAGATCTACCATTGAGCATTGCATATGCTAAATTCCTGCTGTCTTTGGCTTGCTCTAAGCCATTATTACTAGTAAGTTATCTTATTACGGTCCTTTGTGTGAAACATCCAGTCCAACTGGCTTGGTGCTTGACTAGGCGAGAGGTATTAATTTATATCTAGATGAACCCTAATTCTAGCTCTTACGCTAAGTAAACAAGTGCTGTGCCGCCGGAGATTTCCGCGCGCAATAACAGGAATAAACAGATTCGAATACGTACACGTACTCTTACAGGGGAATCGCCAGGGGTTTCGCGTTCGGCCTGTGTTTGGTGTGTGGGACTCCAAGCTGATGCGCGGATGGCACGATGTCAGCTCCACTCACAAACGTTGTTGAGCCGTTCCGAGGTTCTACCTGAGCGTTCAAGGTTCAACACATGGAGATGAACTATCCCATTGGTCATGTTCCTGTTCAGCCGTCCTTAATGCCTCGGACATACTGTAGAGACCGTGACCTATTGGAAGCCTTCCCAGGGGGCCAACTGGGTCCTCTCGCCGAGATTAAGCGAAATTGATTAGATTGTACCTGACAGATGAAGGTGGCAGAGCTGAACTGGACGGGACGATTGCGGCATGGACAACGAAGCAGATGGTTACCAGTTCTAGCATCGGAGATCCTGGTAGTGGCATCCTTTACCACCGGAATCCAGAGCAGCAAGAAATCCTAGCTTCCTAGACATTCCTCTAGTTCCCTAGCGTTAACTTTCATTGCGACGCTACTGGAGAAGGATTACAAGCATACGACCGGCAGAATAGGCCGCTAGCTCGTGTGGAAGGCTTTCGCAAGCTCTGATCCTGCGATCTGGGTGACCCGATGCTATATCGCCCATCTGCCCCCTCTGTTTTCCAAGGACACGCATGATCGTACCATGACAAGCATACCCCAGTTTGAGTGCGACTATGGCGGCTAATTCTCATCTGGGGGGCGCGGGCTTGCCTGATGTGAGCCAGGGACCCCAGATCTTGGCAGCTACATCGATCACCACGGCTTTTGCATTACTCACGGTCCTAGCCCGGATGTATGTCCGTGTGTTTTTCATCCGAAATGTTGGGCCCGATGTGAGTATAGGACAAAAAGCAGCCGGAGAATGGACACTGACCTGCAGCTAGGATTATGTCATGGTGTTGACAATGGCACTTGTAACCTCCCCTCCCGACGCTCCAGCAGCCTGGAATCTGACATTGACGCCCATAGTCACTCGGTGGAATTGCTGTGATAATACCAGAGGTCATATATGGTGCAGGAAGACATACGGTCTATGTGGAAAATACGGCCTCGATAGCGACACATCTGAATTTCGCCACTCAGGGTATCTATATGTGGGCAATCGGGCTCGTCAAGATCTCCATTGGGCTGTTTCTCCTGCGGTTTGCCCCGCGACGGGGCTATAAGATATTCATCTGGGTAGTAATGGGTATGTCATGAACCTAGCTGTATGCTGGATAATTGCAGGGAGATGGAAACTGCTTTAATCAGCTAGTCCTGCTCTGTCTATTCTATCAAATGCTAATGAATGTGGCAGTGGTCATGCTACTCTATACCATAATATGCTTTCTTGTTTGTCACTCCAGCCCTGTACAATGAATCACTACTAATGATGGCAGACACTCATGTTTGAGTGTAAAGATATCCGATCCATCTGGGATGAGAATGTGAAATCACAGTGTTTCACATCCTCACAGCTCCTAAAATTGAGCTACACAAATACCGGTAGGAAACTTGCTCGGATTCTTAGGACATTGCTAACGATCCCAGGTCTAAATATCCTGACAGATCTCATATTTGCCATTCTACCAGCGATAATGCTACGGTTCGTCCTTATTCTAAAACTGCACTATTTCCCCAGCTGACAGCCACAGACATTTGCAGGTTAACCGACGTGTGAAAGCCTCGTTGGTCTGCATATTGGGACTGGGGATATTGTAAGCAACCAATATATTCCCCCCTTCACCCATAACTACATCCTCTAACCAAACGTCAGTGCCTGCGCCGCAGCAATTGTTAAGCTTTCTGTCCTGCCCAACTATGGTCGCACCGGCGACCTCTTATGGGACTACTCCACCCTCACAATCTGGGTCGTGTTCGTCAACCTCCCTACTCTTATAACCACACAGACTAACAAATCCTATGACAGCGTCGAATCCAACATGGGCATCATAGCAGGCAGCTTACCCACTCTGAAGCCCCTCTTCAAGCAATTCCTCGGCACATATGGATCCCAAACAAAAACACGGCGCTACACATACGGTAGCAAGAAGTACCGACTACAATCGTTGTCCCCATCTTACCCACAGCCATCCGTCCGCAGCAGACCACTCAGCGTTCTGGACCCGGACGATTTGGATGAAGGCGATCCCCGTGCTGCCCAGAGAAACTCCAAGTACGGAACAACAACGACCAAATACCACTACCGCGATGGCAGCCACACCAGCGAGGAATACATCCTGACCCGTCAAGAATCAGCGGGAATTGTGCTCACCACAGAGGTGGTAGTGACACACACTACAGCGGAAGAGGTAATACGAAACAACCGAGGGAAAAGAACACAGTCACCCAACGAGGAGGTATAATATTACAGTCACTTCCACTACCTACTTAAATACCATATCATCAATATTTCCCTACTATCAAACCATATTTACATAGACCTGCCAACAACACTTCAATCCCACATCTACCTCCAACCCACCCCAATACAATGAGTCATCGAAACTAAACCCCTACCCCCACATTCTTCGGCACCTCCACAACCACGGGCCCCAGCCTCCCCCTCAACGCCACTCCAAACGCCTCATCAATCCGTCGCGGCAACTCCCTCACAGTTCACTCCTCACCCGCACATCCCACTTCGTACAAAACCTCGTCATCCCCAACATATGCGAATGGACTAGTGAATTTACTTCGCAAGTGTGTCAGCTTGCCGGATTTGTTTGAAGCGTTCATGTATTACGGCTAAATTGATCTTTGTACCAAATCAACAATGATATAAGCCCCGTCCTCGTTGAACAAGTTCATCACCTCCATCTCTCACCTCCATATTGGTCCCCCAAAATTTGCTGGCATCGAAGTAGTACCTTCGAGTGGCATAACAGGTGTGATCGAAATGACAGCAGCAACTCAATACTGCAACCAAGATGGCAAGGAAGACTTCGGCGACTTTGTACGCAATGAAGACGAGGAAATGGACCTGGAAGAGGTTGCCGAGCCCTGGGAAAGATATGATAAAACGATAACCTCAGATGTCTTCTATCCCATCCGCCTTGGAGACCTGATCAACGAGAGGTACCTGGTAGAGCATAAGCTTGGATCCGGCGGCTTCTCGACCGTCTGGATGGCCAATGACCAACAAAATAGCAGGGACGTTGCCCTCAAGATCATGTTTGCAGGAGAATCAGGTGAAAATGAAATCCGCCTGCAGGACGAAATTGTTCGGAATGTGCGTGATGCCTCCTCTCATTTTGTGACGTATCTAGAAACCTTTCTACTTCCAGGAGATGGATGCCACCATACGGTTCAAGTATTTCCTTTAATGGGCCCATGTCTTTACTGTCCGAACGTGAGAAAATTGTCCATGACTACTCGCATGTCCGCTGCTCTGCAATTGCTAGAGGCGTTGGAGAGTTTACACGAGGCCGGAATAGTCCACCGTGGTGAGTGACACCGAAAAGGGGATCGATCCTGCTCTTTTCTCTATTCGTCCGCATGCTGATGTTGTATTCAACAGATTTGAATGAGAGAAATTGTATGTGGGGAATGCAACCCCTCCACCATCTACCCAGGAGTGCTAAATATAAGGCATTGGGCCGGCCATTGAAGCAAATGATACCGGTGGACGATCTCTGGAAGTCAGGGGAGCTCGTTGGATCTGCTAATATCCCCCCAAACCTGCAAACCCAGAAATTCTATCTCGGTGACTTTGGTCTGGCAAAGAAACTGAGCGATCCCGTGACTCCACGTGGCTATCCACCATTACAATATTGCTCCCCGGACCGCCTGCATAGACAAGATCCCAGTCCTGCCTGCGACATGTGGAGTTACATGATCCTCTTTTCGGAACTTTATCTTGGCAACGTGCCTTTTTCTACGTTTTTCAATGGTGGGATTATTGGTGGTTTCGTGTTGTCTTTGGGTCCTCTGCCTGAGGAGTGGAAGGGATCCTATACTCATCCCGAGAGCCGTGATTCCTGGTATGACCAGAACCAAACTCCCGATCCCAGATGGACACTTGAGTCAAGAATTGCAAGTCTTCGTCCCGACGCCGACCCAGTGGAGCGAAGCCATGTGCTTTCTATTATGTCTCGTGTATTCACTTACGACCCGGCGAAGCGTCTGACCGCATCCCAGCTTCTGCGTGACCCTTCGTTCAGAGCTATCATGGAAAATTATGGCTGTTGATACCAGGTTTCTTTATGCTTTTTACTATTGACGGGTTTGGAATGTTGGTGTCTCTGCTAGGTATATCTCTTTATTGATCCTTTAGAGTAAAGATAGTTTGTTACTTAGTTTGTTTATGTAAACATTTATCAAGTACTAAATGATATAGCTGGCTGAATATATATTCAAGGGTCTAAAACAGAGTTCAGTCCCGGAGACTTCAATTAT